AAAGATATTTATATATATATATATTTCGACACAATATAGACTCGAAATGCAATTTTGTTATAAAAAATTTAGCTTTAAGAACAAAACTAATTTTAGATTTGAAATCTCTGCACTTAAATTAGGCAATATCGAGTATTTGTATAAATGCAACAAAAAAATTACTCCTCGGTTTAATTTTTTAAAGTAGGAATATTAATACAAAGAAAATTAGTGCAGTTTTATTTTTGCAAAATTCATATAAAAATTTAGCAGAAATAATGTCCATAATAATGTCTTACTATGTTTTGCATTTACGATTTATTAATACAGTTAATTTCATTCACTCTTTTAATAGATTTTTTTTCCGAATATATTGTTAGATCTTAAAGTGAAACACATCATTATTTAGTACATATTTTATCCCTAAAAGGAGTTTCTCTCATGAAATAAACGATTACTTCAATGTTTCGTTTCTCGAATTCCAAAACAAATTTTGAACTAAACAATTCGGGACCCAAAATAATTAACATACCCGCAATTAAATAATTATAATCAAAAGAACCTTTCACTGAATCGCTAATTTCCCAATTTTCTTTCTTAGATAAGTACTGCGTAGACGCAACAGGAAAAAGGAAAGCAGGAATCGGAAAATTCTTTCGCCACCTGAGCAACGCCAAAACATCCCCCAGGCATGTTCCAAAGCCAATTGCTAAGGGTAACTCTCAAGTCGAAAAAACAGAAATCGATGGTGAGTAGTAACTTCCTTCTTATTTGGCAGACTGTCGATAAGATAGTCAATCAATGGTAGTTTCTTTGGAGTTTATCTATTTTAGCTTTTCACGAATATCTTACGTGTTCCAAACTCACTTTTTTGAGCTACTTTATTGAAAAGATTTATTTTTCAACATGTTTCAGTTTTTTATACTTATTATTGTTTTCCCTTTAGTTGACACCTTTCTCCATCAGTAATAAAATAAAAATAAAAATATTTTTAATTTTGATGCAATTTCGTTTAATATTATTCATTTTATATTTATTGTGAACTGAGAAAAATTACGTAGTTAAAACTACCAGAATATGGTAAAATGATACCGCAGAATATGGTACCGAGTAATTGTCTCTAAAGGAACGTTAAAAAGCTTGATAATTTTTACCGATGGGCTTTAGTAAAGATTTTGGTAAAATTAGCAAAGAAATATTGTTTATTTTATATTATTTATTATATTATTAAAGAAATATTGTTTATTTCTTATTTTATAATATGAAATATGTCAACAAATTTATGTCAACAAATAAATTACAACAATTTTATAGTGAAATCTTAGAGCTTGGCATAAAAATCACTTATTCAGTTAAATATAATTTTCAGTTTTGAATTTTTACTAAATGTGTGGTAATAAGAACTATAATTTTGAAAATCAGAATTTCTGATAAACCGTTAATATATGAATGGTTTAAATACCGTATATTTTGGTTTTATTATTAAAAATGTCTTTACGATGCAACATGGTTATTTTACCACAATTTCTTTCTCCGTGTGGTGTTTCAAGCCCTATTTTACTAAGTTAATATATAGTATGCGGCGAAAATATTTTTTTTTAACTTGGTGCAATTTTCTCCTCATATATTCTTTTTCATAATAATCATCGTGTTTTAAGCTTTTTTTTCAGAATTTCTATGTCGCACATATTGAAGAGATGTGATTCATAATCTTCATGCAAATTTGCTTCTTGTTATTTTCATATTCATTATTGGGCTTACAAATCTCTTTTTTAGAATTGCTATGTAATGCATATTGAAAAAATTTGTTTTTCTTCTCGATGAATTTTAGTCACTGTATTACTATTTTGTTTCTTATCTTGTATCAAATTCTCTTTTTTCGGATGACTATGCGGTACACGTAGAAAAGATTTGTTATTCATATTTTGTCTACATGTAATATAAGTTTTTTACAATTTTGCATGTTTCGCATGTTGTTTTGTTGTCAGCTTCAAATCTTTTTATCATTTGAAGCTGAAACTGTGATTTTAAGATAATTCTTTGGCAGAAAATCCAATTTTTGTTTTGAATTTTTGACTGTTGTTTATTTTTAAACAGTCTAACTCTGACATAATCATTTTTGATTTGAATCAACCAGATCGAGATAAAATGATTATAAAAATAATTTAAGTGATCCATTTTGACTGTTAAAATTTTAGGCAGTTAAATAAGAATTTGTCATGAGGTTGAAGAATTTTGTAATTTTTTATATAAAACAAGTTAGATTTTTAAAAGAGAAATATTTGTATTCAAAAAAATTTTCTTCCTTATCTTATTTCTTTTAATAATACTAATATAAAATATTATGCTGCATTCAAATGAGATAAGTTATGATATAAGTTATAGTACAATTAATAAAAGCTATTGACTTATCCGACATCGAACAATTCTATTACAGAAAAATTTTCACTTTTCCAGTTAAAATATTATCTGTAATTAGTAAATATTTATCGGAAAAATGTACACCGAAAAACTCAATGAAAGAACTAAAACAAATTAAAGTAAAATAATAAATTTATTATTTTTTGAAATAATTAAGTATATTACTTTTAAAATCTATTACTTTTCAAAAGTTTTTAATTATGTGTGCGTCATACATAGCTTAGTTAAAATTGGCTTTGAATATTTATAAAGCACACCCATTTAGTATTTAGTTAGTATTGAAAATATTTCCTTATAGGCTGAGAATACTAACAAATTAATTAAATTTATTTTGTTATTGATAAAGATAAGGAACAAAAATAAAGAAATTATAGTTTTATAAAATCACTTAACGTAAGAATGATAAAAGCAAATTAAATTCAGGGCCCTCAAGAACCAAAAGTAATAATTTTTGGGGGATTTTTTTAACTAAAAAAATAATTATAAGCAATTATTCTAACAAACTAACTTAGACAAATTAACGTAGGTACATTTTTATTTAAAATGAAACATAACACATAACATAAACATATTGAAAACTAAAGACTTAAGTGTTTTAAAATTTTTAAATTGTTTTCTCTTTTTTAAAAAAAATATCTTATGGAAAATTTGTAAATATTTTTTGTATACTAATTGTAAATTAAAGCAAAAAAAAAATCCAAAACAAAAAATAGGTTTTTAAGAATAATACACAGATGTGACTTGGATCTTCTTAAATTAACAATACAGTAATTTTATATATGGAAATAAACAGTTTCATCCAAAAGCAAATGTTGCAATTATGTAGAATAATTACTATTTTGAAGTGCCAATTTTTCATGTGTCCCTAATTAGGCTATTTTGTTTGCTTCAAGTAATCTAATCTTTTGACTTAAAGGCAAAATGCAACCCCTATGCTATATAATTAATGAATGCAGTTCTACATAATTACCATTACGCATCCTCTTATGCAATTCCCACATCAACGGAAATGTATTTCACGAAAACTGATTAAATACTTCCTGGTAAAGCATTCTAAACAACATATATCACTACACTTGTTGGCTATTTCTATTATTAAATAGCCAATAGGGAGCTAGTAATTTAACTTATTTCTCGAGTGTAAGTCCCAAACAATGTAACTTTAGAGTAATAAAGATATCAAATTTTTTATAAAATTCTTATACGTAAGAATAGTAATATTCATTTTAAAAAAGGCCATCTTTTTTTTTTGATTTTAAAAGCTATTTTGCAGGAAAAACTAAGTTATAAAATTATTATTGAAATTTTATTTTGCTTAATTTTTGATAAAAATAAAATATCTAAATAGCTGAATTTGCCAGTTTTATAAAGTCTAGCTATAATCATAAAATAAATAATATCAAATGTTAATATCTGCTAAAAATATAAACTCTTATTTTTAAAAAAATTCCTATTTTTGAATAGACAAAGTTCAATAATTATTATTTTGCAGTATGCTAAGTTACTTGAATAAAATATTTCAATATTAAATGGGGAATTGAAAATATGTGCTTATTTTTTTACCTATATGTCAAATGTTAGGTTGACTAACTAAATTGATTTAAGCTAAGTTAACTGAAATGTAGTTTAATATGTCACTGAATATTTTTATTATTTTTATTATTAATTTTCTATATTTATGAAGAAGAAATTTAAATAATGCAATACAATAGTGATATCAGAAAGTGACAAAAATGTGTCTCAATATTTAAAATTGCATAACAAGTCAAAAAATTAAAAAATAAAGCTTTAATAAAATATGCTTTTCCATCAACAATAATTTAGTTTTTATAAAAGACTCTTTTTACATATGAAACTATTTGCAAAAAAAATGTAAGAAATTTAAATAATGTAAATATTTTATTAAATTAGTACATCTATTTATTTTTCAACGATTGACTTTAATAAATAAAATAAACACTGTACATCGAAGTACTATTTAATTTTAAAGTTCCTTTTTGATTACATAGACTTTAAGTTCATGGTAAGATGTTTATAAATTTTTGAGGTTTTTCAAAAAATATTTCGATAATATTCGATATCGAAAATATTTTGATAATATTCGTTCTGTATTGAATATTATTTATCTTTGTCTATTATAAAATATCATTTAGGTGCTGGATTATTTATTAATAAACAATTTATGATTAATTGATTCGAAATAAAGCAATGAAATAAAATAAGTAATGCTTCTCATATTTTATTTATCAACAAAAACTTATGTAATTTGATCTCCAAGTAATCAAAATATGACATTTTAAAATAAAAAAAATAAGGCAATGAAATGATATCAAGTAGTGAAATAAAGGAAATATGAATTAGAAAAATATGCGTTAAGTTTGAAAATTCTCCTTTCTTTACTTTTAAATATAATTTATTACATTAAAATTTAATGACAATTTAAACTACTGTTTTTAATATAAATTTCAAGCATGACAAATTTATGAAATGATCATGAGAAACTCTTTTAAAAATCTGTAATTTTGAATTGAAAGTGAAATTCCTTTTTTTTATATTTTAGACACAACCAATGAAAAAAAATGAAATGTTAAAATTATTTATAAATAATAATTCATACAAGAAAATCATCAAGTCGATATAAATGATTAAATTCAAAGTTAAAAAAAATAAGTTTGAAATGACGTAGATACAGTTACTAAGCATAAATTGTTTCCTAACCTTAGTGTAAACAAACGACAAATAAGAAAAAAAATTGAAATGATTTCAAAATTCGTCATAGAGTGTGACAGATAAATGTTACTATTTCTGGTGCTGAGCTATTTTTCTAAGATCTCATTACTATATGATTCTTGGAAAAATATATTTTTATACACCTATAGCTGCAGCTCTTTTCCATTTCTAAACTCATGCTTAAAATAGTATTTACAATTCCGTATCTCTTCCAATGTCAAAACTTTTCGTGCCGTTGATTGGTCAGGAATCATAAAAGCAACTCAAATTGCCAAACAGAGTTCAAACGTGACTTAACATGCTAATTTCAACGGCCTGTTACATTTCGGAACATTTCGATTTTGGCGACACAAAAGCCATTGGAGAAACGCCGAGAACGCCAACGCTTTATCAATTCAAAGTGTCTAACATACCCATTTGTCAGAAAACTACCAGTGCAATTCGCGTGCTTCTGTAAAATTCAATGCCGTCGGTTACGTGACAACAAAACAGATTCGTTAGTATCATTCAAACGCTTTGATAGAAATCTCACGTTGTTGCAATTTTTAGAATCTGATATTTGCTACATTTGTGCCTCATAGTAGAATGATTCTTTTT